AACAAACCCTTGTTGTAAGCTGTTCTAACATGTACCAAAGTTACAGTATGTAGCTCCTGTAATAGCTGACATGTTGCTACTTCCTTAACAAACCCTTGTTGTAAGCTGTTCTAACATGTACCAAAATTATAGCATGTAGCTCCCGTAATAGCTGACATGTTGCTACTTCCTTTACAAACCCATGTTGTAAGCTGTTCTAACATATACCAAAGTTACAGTATGTAGCTCTTGTAATAGCTGACATGTTGCTACTTCCCTCAACAAACCCATGCTGTAAGCTGTTCTAACATATACCAAAGTTACAGTATGTAGCTCCTGTAATAGCTGACATGTTGCTACTTCCTTAACAAACCCTTATTGTAAGCTGTTCTAACATGTACCAAAGTTACAGAATGTAGCTCTTGTAATAGCTGACATGTTGCTACTTCCTTAACAAACCCTTGTTGTAAGCTGTTCTAACATATACCAAAGTTACAGAATGTAGCTCCCGTAATAGCTGACATGTTGGTACTTCCTTAACAAACCCTTGTTGTAAGCTGTTCTAACATATACCAAAGTTACAGTATGTAGCTCTTGTAATAGCTGACATGTTGCTACTTCCTCAACAAACCCATGCTGTAAGCTGTTCTAACATATACCAAAGTTACAGTATGTAGCTCCTGTAATAACTGACATGTTGCTACTTCCTTTACAAACCCATGTTGTAAGCTGTTCTAACATATACCAAAGTTACAGTATGTAGCTCCTGTAATAGCTGGCATATTGTTACTTCCTCAACAAACCCTTGTTGTAAGCTGTTCTAACATGTACCAAAGTTACAGTATGTAGCTCTTGTAATAGTTGACATGTTGCTACTTCCTCAACAAACCCTTGTTGTAAGCTGTTCTAACATATACCAAAGTTACAGTACGTAGCTCCTGTAATAGCTGACATGTTGCTACTTCCTTAACAAACCCATGTTGTAAGCTGTTCTAACATATACCAAAGTTACAGTACGTAGCTCCTGTAATAGCTGACATGTTGCTACTTCCTCAACAAACCCATGTTGTAAGCTGTTCTAACATATACCAAAGTTACAGTACGTAGCTCCTGTAATAGCTGACATTTTTATTATTTATTCTGACGTTTATTGAAGTGATACTATTGTACTTAATTCCTGCCTTTATCAACAATATAATAAATAATTCCTAATATTTTACTTATATAAAGGCAACAAACAGTACATACTCAGTTGAACATCTGGCGTATTGTTAACTTTCTAAAAATATTGTTTAATATATATTAGCATTCTAGAAAGTTGAACAATATTTTCAGCTTCATTAATGTTTAAGGTATCGTTACTATAAGCCTAACTTGTTACAATTAAGAGTACACGTGCTCTGTATGGTGTTACCTGTTACTATTGATTAGTAGATTCTATATATATATGTCAGAAGAAGAACAAACGTTCCAGTGTTCGTTTACTGTAGAACTGAGAAGAAACAGAAAAACCAAATACTTTGATGAGTAAGCCTAGTTAGCTAATCAACTTCTAATGAGTCAATTACCGCCGCCACTCCGTGCTACCGGGCTCTTGGACTTTTGCATTCGTTTCAGGACTTCTGGAATGGGTATTTTCATTTGTGATAGATGATGAATCTCATTATCTAATAGATCCACCAAAAACGAAACGGAGCCTGTATCACGTGACCCATGACAAGTTGATAAGATAATGACAGTTAGAGACGGATTATTTATTATTTTATTGACCAATGGAATCAGTTCGGTGTTACGCGAGACAGGTTTTTTTTTTTTTATTTTAGTGCTTAACTTTTAAAGTCTCAACTGAAGAAGTGACCCGTGTCTGTCTTTGAAACCAATCTGAGAAACCTTTAATGAAGATTGTGGTCAGAAAACTCCGTTTTCACACTTTGTGCTGAGATAATATTTTTATAAATTATGAGTCCGAGAAAAATGATATTAATGACATATGGTTTCCAGCATAAGGCTTAAGGAAATAGTTTTACTCACTAAGTATGGACTCATGAATTCGTCACTATTTTATATTTTGGAAAGGGTCGGCTGTGGTTCTAGTGCTTTATTGTGAATCGTAGGGCCAATGGTTCGCGTTCCATAGATGAAAAACACGCTAAGCACTTTAGGGCCATGGGATCGTTATAAGAGTGACAGTCAAATCGCATTTTCCGATCAGCGTAGCCCAGGTGTTGGCGGTGGGTGCTGTTGACGATCTGCCCTTCTTCTAGTCTTTCAGTTCAAAATTAGAAACGGCTAATGCACGTCGCTCTTGTGTGGGTTTGCGCGAATATTCCAAACAAACAAGACATTCTAGTTCTATTTCTGAAGTGCAGGTGGAAACTTACAGGGTGTAACTGTCTATGATTTTAGAGCTTATAGGTTTGCTAGCTCTACTGTTTCTAGGGTGGAACTGAATATTTACTAAGTTTTCAAAAAGGCGGATTTTTTTACCACTCATGTTCCCGAAAAGCTGGGTTTCACATTTTTATTTCCTTCTGTGTTTTAATTTTTACATCTACTATTTTTACTTGAATTTCAACTCAATCTGTATTAATACCATATAGGTCCTCATTACGACTTATTCTGTATTAATACCATATAGGTCCTCTTTACGTCTTATTCTGTATTAATACCATATAGGTCCTCTTTACGACTTATTCTGTATTAATACCAGATAGGTCCTCTTTACGGCTCAATCTGTATTAATACCAGATAGGTCCTCTTTACGGCTCAATCTGTATTAATACCAGATAGGTCCTCTTTACGACTTATTCTGTATTAATACCATATAGGTCCTCTTTACGACTTCATGTGTATTAATACCAGATAGGTCCTCTTTACGGCTCAATCTGTATTAATACCAGATAGGTCCTCTTTACTAGTACAGAGTAAGCCTTAATAGTACAGAGTAAGCCTTAATAGTACAGAGTAAGCCTTACTAGTACAGAGTAAGCCTTAAAACAAAACTATGATGTTACTACAAATGGAATCGTAAAGAGGTCTTTTCTGTTAGTACAGACTAAGTCGAAAATAGGACCTATCTGGTATTAATACAGATTAAATCGTAAAGAGGACCTATCTGGTATTAATACAGATTAAATCGTAAAGAGGACCTATCTGGTATTAATACAGAATAAGTCGTAAAGAGGACCTATATGGTATTAATACAGAATAGATGATCTGGAAGATAACACTAAAAACACCTAATGTAGTGGTGCAAACTTGTGATAGTTAACTAACATCTAAACACCAGATGATCTGGAAGATAACACTTAAAACACCTAATGTAGTGGTGCAAACTTGTGATAGTTAACTAACATCTAAACACCAGCTCGTCTGGAAGATAACACTAAACACATCGGATGTACTGGTTCAAACTTGTATTTGTTAACTAAACCCGATTGTGTTTGAACTATTACACAACAAGTTCTTGAGCGAACAAATATTGTTTCTGAACTGATCTAATACAAATATACAGTTTTACCTCCCCCTCCCCCTTTATCCGTGTGAGGGGTCACGAAATGGTACTTTGCGTAAGTCGTCATTAACTCTTAAAACGCACGTCAACATGAAATGGACATCAATGGGATATTTCCTTTTGGCGATCTCAACATGTTGGTGTGGAAGTGCGTGCACGTGTGACATGCATTGTGAGGTAAGTGGCACGAGGAACTATAAGGGCGAGCCGAACACTGCATGTGCTAAGGTACCTTTACTTCGCTAATGATTTTGCTGTAAAGACAAGACAGGAAGCTAATAAATTTTCCCAACATGTTTATGTTGTTCCGAGTCGTTTCTTAGGTGCAGATAGAACAATTGGAAGCCTTAAGCACCAGTAATGGATGTGTATGTGTAAAGCTATTGATCGCTAAGCCTAAGCTGTGTCGTGAAATTTGTTCTAACGACCATCACCAAAACGTGATATAGGTGAAGAAACGTTACGAGTTCTTGTTAGAAGTAATGAAGATGAGCCGTAAACAAGGCCTTTGTATTAGTACAGACTGATTCGCGAAGTCGTTCATATAAGAATATATTGAGAATTGTAAAGAGATCCTTGGTTTTAGTACAGTCTTAAAAAATGTTCGTGATATTAGTACAGAATTCGGTCTTAAAGAAGTCCCTCTTACTAGTACAGAGTAAGCCTTAAAAAACACCTAATGTAGTGGTGCAAACTTGTGATAATTAACTAACATCTAAACACCCCTGCTCATCAGAAAGATAACACTAAAAACACCGGATGTATTGGTTCAAACTTGTATCAGCTAACTAACATCATCTAAACACCTGCTCATCAGAAAGATAACACTATGTTTAGATGATGTTAGTTAGCTGATACAAGTTTGCACCAATACATCTGGTGTTTTTAGTGTTATCTTTCTGATGAGCAGGTGTTTAGATGATGCTAGTTAGCTGATACAAGTTTGTACCAATACATCTGGTGTTTTTAGTATTATCTTCCTGATGAGCATGTTTTTAGATGATGTTAGTTAGCTGATACAAGTTTGAACCGATACATCTGGTGTTTTTATTCAAGCACTGAAAACAAAATAATTATTTATTCACCAGTAAACGTTCTTTAATCCTTAAATTATTGACCGTTTACTACCGGTATAGTGAACGTATTGTATTATACTGATTAATTCTATGTTTAAATAAAATTATCTCGGTATAAAGAACTGATGTAAAACCTTGTGTGAAGTCCCTCATGCTTTATGTCAAGCGCAAGAAAACCTTGGCAACAACTACTAGGCTTAACTGTGATACTGACGTCATTTTTATCAATTTTTGTCTGTGTTACTCATATCTAATACCCCGGTCTATGGACTTTTAACGCTAAAGTCCAGGGTTCGATTCCCTGCAGTGGACACAGCAGACAGCACAATGTAACTTCGCTTAAAACAAACAGACCAGCCTACTGATATCTACTTAAGGACAATCTGAACAACGAAGTCTTGGACGAACAAGCAAAACTGTGCATAAGTAGTTTGAACAAATGTGTTTCAAAACCTTAAATGCAAAAATAAACTTTTGAAATCCTTTCGTATATATTGGGAAGGTGTACTTTGTCTAATTAATTTCAGCTACGGCTTATATCTTGCAAGTAATTCACCAAGGTTTCTGTAAACTGTACTGTTTACAGGATTACTGTACGTCCAGTTTTCAGGCGAACCGCGCAGTCTCTTCAAAAATAGGCAGTTTTCACATAAACAAAGTAGTAGTTTTATAATCTTTTTTTCTTCTTTTTTTGCTCTGGAGCTCTCAACAAATTCAGGAAAAACTTCCAATAAAAAAAAGCACAGAACAATGATCAAGACTGGTGAAGCTCTTAAACAAATTCAGGAAAACTTCCAATTAAAAAAAGCACAGAACAATGATCAAGACTGGTGAAGCTCTTACATAATTCAGGAAAACTTCCAATAAAAAAAAGCACAGAACAATGATCAAGACTGGTGAAGCTCTTAAACAAATTCAGGAAAACTTCCAATAAAAATGCACAGAACAATGATCAAGACTGGTGAAGCTCTTAAACAAATTCAGGAAAACTTCCAATAAGAATAACACAGAACAATGATCAAGACTGGTGAAGCTCTTACATAAATTCAGGAAAAACTTCCAATAAGAATAACACAGAACAATGATCAAAACTGGTGGAGCTCTTACATAAATTCAGGAAAACTTCCAATAAAAATAACACAGAACAATGATCAAAACTGGTCTAGGACTTTGGACCTAAGTTTGTTGTTCTGTGCTGTTGTTTAGGCGTAGCTGTTGAAAAGCGCGTGAGGGTACACTGTGGGGGAGGGGGCATGACGGAGGGCACATTCCACATACAGGTTATGAGAATTAATAATCGATTCGTCTAAAATACACCCTTTTTATACATTTTTCCTTTTCTCACAGTTGGTGATACGAAAACTATGGTAACCCTAAGATCATCACTTTTATGCTATTATAGTGGCGAAGATGATGTGGCCGATTGATCTTGAAAACAAAACACCAATACTATTGTTTGTCCATTTGTAGGGGTCTACAATTAAAAGATGAAATAAATATTAAGTTCATTGACTTATCATATAATGGAGATTTAGATTTAACAAATATTAAGGCCAGTGACTTATCATTTAATGGGAATATCAGTTGAAAGGGTGAGCATGTTTTGGTGGGACGGGGATTCTAACCCGCGACCCACAGATTGCGAGCCAAGCTCCCTAAATACCTGGCCATGCCGGGCCCGATAAATTAGGACTCCCTTTGTCTTTGATAAGGTTAAGGCACTCGACTCGCAATCTGAGAGTCATAGATTCGAATCCCGTCCTCCGAACATGCTCGTTCTTTCAGCCGTGGGAACGTTATAATATGACAGTCACTTCCATTATTTTTTGTTAAAGAGTAGCCCAAGAGTGGGCGGTGGGTAGTGTCTGCCATTTCAAAATTAGGGACAGTTAGCACACATAGCCCTCGAGTAGTTTTACGAGAACTTCAAGACAAACAAACAAAATCTTCGCACAACCTTTTCCTGAACCTGCATAAGTTTGTTTGTTTGTTATGAATTTCGCGCAAAGTTACACGAGGGATTTCTGCGCTAGCCGTCCCTAATTTAGCAGTGTAAGACTAGAGGGAAGGCAGCTAGTCATCACCCCCCACCGTCAACTCTTGGGCTACTCTTTTACCAACGAATAGTGGGATTGACCGTCACATTATAACGCCCCCACGGCTGAAAGGGCAAACGT